GAGGAGTGGTGAATAAGGATTCATATAGTTGATCCCAAATTTACTAAGAAAGGGGTTTAGTCTGTTGTTGATTTATTGGATTGAATCTTTATTTCGGGATCAAAGTTCTTTTGCTGCTTTAAATTTTTAATGCAACAGTATACAATTGTCTGTTGCCGATGATGATGTGCTAAGGCACATATCGTAAATTTTTAATGTAACAGTACACATATTGGGAAGGATGGAGGTTGTTCATCCAGGTTCGGAACAGTATAATCCAAGTTCTGAAGAATTCGAGTCCGGGGTTGAAAATTTATCGTCTCCTAGAAAGTACATCTTTTGGACTACTCGCATGAACACGCATATCTTGCCAAAATTCATAATCAGTTTCATAACTTCATCTAAGTTTAAAGGTGAGGAATGTGTAACACATGGTATGTTTGGTGCACTAGAATGAAGAGTATAATAGATAAGATTTTAAGTTCTTTCATAATGTATTCTTGAAGGAAATCGAAGGATTCCGCATCATCTAAGTCTACCAAATTCAGCATGGATACAGTTCTCGGACCTCATAAATGTACTTTCTCAATGTTTTCAAACGCCTCTTCACATAGAGACGAACTCATTTCTCATCCAAAAGCAAGTTACGTGCACGATTTTAGTAAGTAGGTGACATCAAGACTCAAGGTCCCAATTTTTGTGCACTTGTATCAAGCTAAACCACCTCCTCCTAGAGGAGAAAATATTATTTATTAAAATTGTCTCTTCAACAAGTAAGGCAAGGAATATTATTATTATTATTATTATTATTATTATTATTATTATTATTATTATTATTATTATTATTATTATTATTAAATTGTAAATCATTTCTGAATTGAAGAGGGATGATGGAAATAAGAATCATAGATAATTAGGTGAAATATTAGAGCAAATAATTACATATTTATTGCATGACGCCAGCAACTACTCACATAATTGACTATAGTTTTCGTTATCATTGTATTATTATGGTAATTAATGGCTATAAGTTAATAACTTACTTCATAATCATTACTTCAACCACTTCTGAACCAAACTATTTTATCTTGCACCCTTGCAAGTTAGCAATTATGTCAAGTTACGTATCTACATTTTTTTCAGGTAAAATGACTGATTTTTTCACGGACACCTACTAGTAATTGAAAGCATTGAATTGCTACAAATAAACTAATTGAATTTTGTGTGCTCTACTTGGCCTAATTATTCTTCTGATGATCGATTCAATTCTGATCAAAAAGATATGCATTGGTTATATTTCATCTATTCAACAAGTATAGTAAAGAGCAAAACGGCCCAATTGTTCCGATGGAGAGAAGAACCTATGATTAGCTTTTCGGGAAATTTCCAAACGAACAATTTCAACGAAATCTTTCAATTTCTTATTTTACTATGTT